TGCAGAAAAGGACCTGGGGGGGACCGTGGGCAATAAGATGAACAGGAGCCAGCAGTGTGCCCGTGTTGCTAAGAAAGCTACCAACATCCTGGGCTGCACTGGCAGAAGCGTTGGCAGCAGATGGAGGGCAGTGATTCTCCCCCTCTATTTGACATTGGGGAGGCCATTTCAGGAGTCCTGTGTCCAGTTGTGGGCCCCCACTACAGAAAGCATGTGGACACATTGGAGAGAGTCCTTGGGGGACAATGGAAATGGTTGTGGGGCTGGGGGACGAGACTGGTGAGGAGAGATTGAGGGAACTGGGCTGATTGAGTCTGGAGAAGAGAAGACGGAGGGGGATTGAATAGCAGCCTTCACCTCCCTGCAGGACGGTTGCAAAGAGGATGGAGCTGGGCTGTTCTCGGTGGGGGCAGATGACGGGACAAGGAGCAATGGGCTCACGTTGCAGCAAGGGAAGTTGAGGTTGGATATGAGGGAAAACTTTCTCACTAGGAGGGTGGTGAAGCACTGGAGCAGGCTCCCCAGAGACGTGGTGGGATCTCCATCCTTGGAGGTGTTTAATACCCAGGTAGACAAAGCCTTGGCTGAGATGATGTAGTTGGGGCTGGTCCTGCTTGGAGCAGGGGTTGGAGTAGATGTGACCTCCTGAGGTCCCTGCCAGGGCTCGTTGTCCATAATTCTCTGTCTCTAAGACATAGCCTCACCGCGAGATGTGAACCCAGACATGGAATTCCTCATCTCTCAGTTCTTTATAATCCACAGTGCCCAAGAGTTATCCCCTGCTTTACACCTAGGGAAACTGTGGCACAACCAAGGAGCTGGCCAAGGCCTCCTCTTGGCGTCCTCAGCCACCTCCTTCCTGCCTAGGCTCTGCAAGCCCTGGCTAACACAACCATGCTATAGTGCATGAAGCCTAACTCTCACTTCATTAATGTCTCCAGTGTAAGGGATCTCTGCTGGCCACCATGGAGCTGTGCACATGCCCAGCAGCTGAGGATTTGGCCCCAATCACTTGCTCAGAGAGAGTAATGCCAGCAAAGATCAGCAGATGGAGTGGTATGTACCGCAAGTGCCAGGTCTACCACCAACCTGCCACATAACCTTGGCTGCAAGTTGTCCTTAGTCCAAGGATGCAGACTCCACCACCTCTCTGGGGAGCCTGTTGCAGTGCCTCACCACCCTCCTCATGAGAAAATGTTTCCTAATATCCAACCTCAACTTCCTTGCTGCAACTTGAGCCCATTGCTCCTTCTGTCTGCCCCCAATGAGAACAGCCCAGCTCCATCCCCTACAGCCTATGCTACACAAAAAATTCCCATTCACCTTCAAGCTTTTCATAGGAGAGGGGCTCAATATGGAAGAGTTATATGACTGAAGGGGACCCCAGAGAGAGGGAGGCCAGGGCAGGACCTTGAACCCCATGGATTAACTGACACTGCCCAGCAGGGCCTCTCCGGCAGCTAATGGTTTGCTTTGTACCGATGTGATTTACCCTTTTGCATGTTTGCCCTGCAGGGTCGCTGACTCCAGCTGCCTCCCGGCCGCATGCAGTGAGGGGTGGAGAGAAGCAGGGGCTTGGTTGTTGTGTCCCATCTCTCAGCTGAGCCGGGGGCTCCCGGGGGAGGAAGGAGCCGAGCTGCGTCTGCACAGCACAGGCTATAAACCTCCATGCACAGCGCTCCTCTCTGCATGCCTCCCAGCCATGGCAGCAGTGCAGGGCTTTGGGTGAAGGGCTCTCTCCTGTTATCCTCACCTGGCCCCTGTGATAGCCCTGAGGAAGCACAAAGCTGAACCAGGTGAGGGGCTCCCAGCTGGACCAAGAGATCTCCAGGTCGGAGGGCTCAGACAAGGTAAGTGCCAGCTTGGAGACAGAGCGCGGAGCATCACATGCATTTGGAAAGCTGGTGGAGAGAAAGGGCACTCAGACTGGGAGACCCCCAGAGCTTCCCAGCACCCCAAGCCCATCAGTGAGGGCAAAGCTTTTCTTCCAGACTCCGGCAGTAGCTCGGTCCTGTCAATGAACCCTTGATGCTGGGGCATGTCAAGTCAGCACCCATTTCCCAGGCCCGTTTGCACACCCTGGAGTTCCCCCAGCTCGCCATCACGGCCAAGACACTGGATGTCCTGTGCAGGGGGTTGGCTTGCTGATGGGCTGCAACCTCATCCGGGAGCACCCTGCATTTGGGGCTGGTCCTGCTTGGAGCAGGGGTTGGACTAGATGTGACCTCCTGAGGTCCCGTCCACCCTCATTTTCTATGATGCCAGGACAATAGGAACCACAGACTGGTACCTTACAAGGAGCTGTTTGTCTGGCTGAGATTTTAGACTTCCAGGCCGTGCAGAGATCAAGCCGGCCGTCTCCTGCGCTCCTGCAGCCACTGCAGCCTGACCGATTCGCTCGCAATGGGAATCCTGCTGTTGCTCTGTGCAAAGAGACTTTGCAGGAGGGGGAGCCGGGGAAGCAAGCTTAATTAGTCTGAAAGATTTGCTTATCTTGGGTGAACTGATTGCTGGGAAGAGAGGCTGGATTGACCGCCCAAAGGAAGGACTGC